AGGAACGTGCTCGTAAGCCTGGCTGGGGGTGGGAACATGCTCGTAGGCCTCCTTGCTGGGGGTGGGGACGGCGCCGTAGGCCTTGCTGGGCTCGGGAACATGCTCGTAGGCCATGGAAGGCTTGGGGGCGTGCTCGTAACCCTGGCTGGGCGTGGGCTTAGCCTCGTAGGCGGAGCTGGTGACTTCGGGCTTGGTCTCCTCGTAAGAGTCCTCGTCGTCCATGCCGAACAAGTCGCCGAGAGTCCTCTTGGAGAGAAGCTCGTCGTAAGACTCAAGCTCGTCAGTAGACTCTTCGGTCTCCTTGGGGATGGCCTCGTAGGACTCCTCCATCTCGGGCTTGAGCTCGTCGTAGCTCAAGTCCTCCTTGGAGGGAGTGACGTAGTAAGAAGGCTCCTTCTCCTCCTTCTCTTCCTCCTCAGGCTTCTCCTTCTCCTCCTCGTCCTTCGCGGGCTTGCCAAGAACGTCGTCGAACAAGGTGCGCTTCATGCCAGGGACCGCTGGAACAGAAGAGCCTAAGGCCTCTGTGACTGGGCAGGTAACTGTGTCTGGTCAGTGGGGAAAACGGAAGCGATGGCAGAATGCGACATACCACCGGAGCAGGCCTTGGAGTCATCCTCTTTGGCCAAAGGAAGAGCAGTGGCGAGCTGAGCAGCAGCGATGATAGCGAAGAACTTCATATTTGCGTTTGAATGAATTCGATGGGAAAGATCGTAAGAATTATTAGAAGGTATTAATGTATAGTAGTGACTGTTGTGTGAATGAGATGTAATGAGCTGATGAGCAATAAAGTGGTATGAGAAGTAGCCTTATATGCTGGGTTGTCGGTGTCTGTCCTGATGCTTCTTCTCGTGCACGGTGTTGAAGTGTGCTTTTTTGGCATCGTCCTGACTGCACGCATGAAGATCGGATCTGTGCTAATCAAAGCTACCAGAAACATTCCAGAAGCATTGTTCAACGGCCACTTTACCAGCGCATCGCCATAGCGGTGAGAAGTCCGTCAGCTCGTGGGAAACATTTCGTCCATGCCTTGATCTAATCGCGCGACTGCATCATGATACCAATGCCGGACATGGAGCCGATCGGTGCATTACTGAGCAGACACCAGATTCGCAAACCACAGTACGCGCCATGGACTTGAACCATTGCTTCACTCGTCACATGAAACGGAGATGAGGCGATCCTTCGCCCGAAGCCAGCGCGTTCACGTTCTTTTGGGACATGCCATGCCGTGTACTTGTCAACATCTGCAACATCTGAAGATTATACTTGCAGCTCTTCTCAGAAGACAAAGTGTCTCATCTCAAGATCGTGAGCAGTGATATGAAGCTGAATTGGAGTTGGGTACGCTTCAGGCGACACAGGTGCACGACCTCCAAAGCTGTTTGCACCAGGCTTCGGCGGTCAGCTAGCCTACATGCCTAGCTGGATATCGAGGAAGTGCTAACATGTGCGAAGATCTCGGGTATGTGGAGTGATAGGAACAACATCGTGAAGTCGGGGTGCAGGAAGAAGGATGGGAAAGAGCAAACATCGTTGGGGATGCAGGACCCACCTAGCGCCCGCTCGGTCCGGCCAAAGCGGGGTCAGGCGAGCACATCAATGGAGCGGTGGACTAGAACCACAACGCATCTCAACGGCATCGTTCATCACGTTGTTCATCTTCTAACATTTACGGATATGCTAGACTGCCGTGCGCTATGTCACCATTATCGATAGTATTGTCACGGGATCTACCGCGGCATCTTCCGCTACCAGCACCACCACCCAACCCGCGTTCAATCCCATCACTCCGTCCTCGTTATAGTACATTCCTCATCAGGAGCAGCCGAATCGTAACATTTGAATGGTCCCAGGATACCGAAACATGGATCTCTGCGTTGCTCACAGCTGAACTCCTTACAGCAACCGTCTTGGGGGAAGTCGCCGGGATCAGCAAGGCAATGTTCTGCTCATCATTAGCTAAATGCACGCACGCGCCTTCTATATTGCTTTCACGCTCGCAGTTGAACAGCAGAGGGATTGACAACGCACCACCGAGAGGTTGACAAGATGTTTGTCTAGATTCGTGCAGAGATAACGAAGCGGCCGATGACGCAAGTGCGAAGAGTAGGTGGATGGTGATCTTCATGGCGAACGAGGAAAGTTGGGTACTCATGGTAAAGCAAGTTTGAACGAGGCTGGAGCCGACTTCCATCTCTTTATTATACACACCATCATTGTTTCGCAAAGACTCCTACGCTTCCTACTTCCGCAAGCTCATCGCACTTTTCTTCTCGTTGTCTCAACACTCCAAGTGCGACAGAGACTAAAACACGAGAGTCGGCGACCGAACTGCTCGCAGTTATCGTGAGATCAGCATGCAACTCGTGTTTCGAGACTACAGAATGTTCCGACACTTTTCTGGTCCGGGTCTCGGTGCGTGAGGCAAATAAGCATAACGATCCTGCTGTCGCGCGTCGTGCACTAAGGTTCGAAGAACGAAAAAGCATTCCTCGCCACGCATGAGGCTACTGTCAGCTTCGGGCCTTTATTCTCAACGTCTGGAGTCGGGCTTGGGGTTCTAGCTGCATGCCATGTGTCGATTGGATTATCACACTTTCCCCTTCAACACAGCAGGACCTTCCGCCGCACTGTCTTCAACGCTAGCAGGTTGATCCGATTGACAACAGATCATGTTTAAGACTCACACTTCAAGATGCGCAATCAACGAATGAAATGAGCCGGAAGCAGCGAAAATGAGCTTCTCTCGTACACCACCAACTTCTCAGCAACAGACGCTCCGATGACCAACTATTCCAGCCACAGCAGCACAAGCCGGCGACGTGTCTCACCACTACGGTGTATACAAAACGCCCTGTCCATTCGCCCACCTCCCACCGCAAAGTGCGACGTACGAACAACAACCCCTCATTTGTCCGTGACTAACAACTCTCCGGCTTTCTCAACACTTTCGACACCATACACGCACCCATATGATGACGTACGTGACCCTACTGTGCAAGGCTGAATTGCCGTATCAAAGCTTCAACACCATTTCACACCGCGTGCTTCGCTGCATCCTCGTGTCAAAGCTTCTAACCACTCACACACTCCGTGTCACGCTCATTCCGGCATCAAAGACACCCGTATCAATGCTCCATAACGCTCACACACGATCTACCTGCCTAGTTCCCCCCAAAGCCCTCTCACTTACACACCCCTCGTTTAGCCTGAGCCTCGTATCATAGCTCCAAACTCTCCTTGTCATAGCACATATGCCAATCGTCCAGATGCCCATGTCCATCCCACCTCCTCTCACACACCGTCCCCTTGCAGCATCCCTCCTGCGGGCGATCAGGAAGCGGCCTGCAGTTTTCTAGAATTTCATTAGCCACATCTCCACAGAATCAAGTAGATGTAATAAAGTGCGTATGCGTGAGAAGCTGAGAAAAGGGGTTGAGACTGAACTTACGTTTAACACCACGACACTCTGGTTCTCCAAGAGGCTCGACTTGCTCATGGTACGGCTTCAGACAGTCATAAATTGTCTGGTGGTAACTCTCTCTACACACCAACCCCTTGCAGCATTTCGGTGGGTCGTCGATATCTAGGTTGCACCGCCCTGCCGTGTATGATTAGCCTTGACGTAATGACGTATTCACCATGCTGAAAAGTTGTTGTTGTATAGTAGTGAATGAGAAACGAGCGGAAGTACGGGACGAGAGAGAGGGGGGAAATGTACTTCCGTATGGTAAGCACTCGGGTGCAAGGACCGACTGGTCATGCCAGTTGTTGTTAACGGTGATGGAAAGACAGGTCGCTGTCGTGATGAAAAGAAGCGTGAAAAAAGGTGCTTTCGTCATTGTTGCGGGCTGTATGTAGTGCTAGTGTAGAGATAGCAAGTATCAAGAAAGAGAGACGAGGATGTGTGCGGACATAGCTTCCGTATTCTGCTACTCATATATACATCTACGAAACGCCTCCGTGTCGTGCAAAGAAAACACAACTAACAACGTTGTACCGCTCCGCTTTGGCATAGTCCCGACTTCCCTTGCTACACGAACTTCTACTACAGTACGTACCTTCTTCTTTCAAGTAGTAGAGTCAGCCACCTTGGCGCATTACAACCAAGTCAACGAATGAACGTTGGATTTTGGCGAAAGGACTTGCTGTGTGCGTGAACATCAAAATTAGTTTGCGGCCGTCATAGGTGCAGTATGACTAGCTCTTTACATCTACCGCTTTTGTGTCATATTGCGTACCTTCTTCTTTCAACTACTAGAGCCAGCCACTTCAATGTATTACAACCAAGCCAACGAATAGAAGTTGAATCCTAGTCAAAGGACTTCCTACGTACATCAACATTGAAGTTAGTCCACGCTGTCATAGGCGCAGTATCAGTAGCTTTTCACATCTACCGTTCTCGTGCCACGATACGTATGTCCGGCCTCAAGTCCCTCGACTTCTGAGGGGTACGCGGACGTACTTGGGATGTTGGACAAGGCGAACAGCCCCGGAAGCTCGGAGAAAGAACAGTATACTCGGCGAAAGGTCGTGTTACGATTTCGACACTTGCGATAGATATGAACATATCACATCAACCAATTTGAGAAATGTATAGAAGTATATAAAGCGCAAAAAGGTGTCTTTTCATTATCTACATGACTCATGTTCCTTATCATCCCTATCATCCATCCATCCATTCATCCATCTCATACTCATGCGAAGGGCGTAAAGGCGGTCATTACTGAGGAGGAGAGAGAGATCGGGGTCGCAACCGCAATACAAAGAAACGACGGCAAAGCAAACAAAACAAAACAATCTAAAATCCTCCCACAGCCACCCCACCATCTTCAAAAAGGGAGGGTGCCAGTGCAGCAAGGGTATAATGCAACTTCCCATCCATCTTCCATCTTCCACTTCCGTCTTTTCGTCATCTTATGCGTCCATCCGTAACGCAGCAATCTTCATACTTGTACTAAGAAAAAGGTATCATCAAACAAGCGTCGTCATCTTCAAGCTTATTTCTTACCCTTCTTCTTGTTCTTCTTCTTGTTCTTCCCCGAGCTAGGTGTGGCGTCGCCGTTCGCCTCACCGTCTTCCTCTTCGGCTTGGTTGCCAGGGGTAGTAGGTGTGGTAGGTGTGCTTGGCTCTTCAGCCTCCTTGGTAGCTTCAGTCTCGGCGGCACCGTCGACGGCAGGAACGTCAGCAACGGCTTCGGGCTCTACCTTGGCTTCGGCGACGGGCTCGGCAACGGGCTCGGTGGCGACTTGCTCAGGGGCGGGCTCGACGGCGGGTGCGGCGGATTCCTTGGATTCAGCCTTGGAAGAGATCTCAGCGTTGGCCTTCTTGAGTTCCTCTTGTTCAGCCTGAGCCTTCTCGAGTTGCTCCTTAGCGCTGGCAAGTTCGGTCTTGATGTCATCACGCTCCTTCTTTGCGGTTTCGGCGTCGGATGTCAGGGCGCTGGTCTTCTCCTCTTGCTCCTTCAGGGTAGCCTGGAGGGACTCGAGGGTCTTCTTGGCGTCGGCAGCTTCAGTCTTGGAGGTCTCGAGGTCCTTGGTCGCGGTCTCAGAGGCAGCGGTGGCCTCGTCGAGCTTAGCCTGGAGGGCGGTGAGTTCAGACTCCTTAGCCTTGGCGGCCTCGACGGTAGACTCGAGCTCAGCGATCTTAGCATCGTTGGCCTTAATCTTCTCCTCAAGCTCGCTCTTCTCGGCAGTAGACTTCTCGGCCGAGGCCTTGAGGTCAGCGAGTTCAGACTCGACGGAAGACGCCTTGGAAGCACCCTCCTTCGCCTCGGCTTCAGCCTGCTTGGATGCCTTGAGCTCTTCCTCAACAGCGTCCTTGGCCTTCTTGGTCTCCTCAAGTGATTCCTGAGCGGTGGCGAGGTCCTTCTCCAAAGAGGCGACCTTCTCATCTCCAGATGATGCGGCAGCCTCCTTAGCCTCAAGCTTGCTGGTGACGTCCTTGAGAGATGCCTCGAGGTCGGCAACCTTGCTAGCCTCAGCCTTCGCATCGGCAAGCTCCTTCTCGAGAGCGGCGACCTTGTCTTCGCTTGATGACTGAGCAGCCTTGAGTGATTCGGAGTGTTCAGCTTCCTTCGCCTCCAGCTTGCTCGTAGTCTCCTTGAGCGATGCCTCAAGCTCTGCAATCTTGGCAGCAGACTCATCGGCACCACCCTTGGCAGAGGTCTCGAGGTCGGTGATCTTGCTGCGGAGGCCATCGGCCTCTTCCTTGGTTGATTGCGATTCCTTGGTGGCGGCCTCGAGCTCAGACTTGGCAGAGACGAGTTGCTCCTCAAGCTCAGAGACCTTGCCAGCGTCGGCGGACTTGGCCTCGAGCTCTGACTCCTTCGCGGTCAGGCTCTCCTGAGCAGCCTTGAGGGAAGCCTCGAGCTCTGCGATCTTGGTGCTGGACGACTCGGTAGCAGTGCTGGCTTCTGACTTGGCGGCTTCCAACTCAGACTCCTTGGATGCGAGGGCGTCCTTTGCCTCCTTAAGAGAAGCTTCGAGCTCAGCAGCCTTGCCACCTTCGCTCTTCGCGGTCTCCAACTCGGCCTTGTGGGCGGTGAGGTCATCCTGAGCTTGCTTCAGGCTGGCCTCCAACTCAGAGATCTTCGAGCTGGACTCCTCAGTAGCCTTGGTGGTCTCACCCTTGGCAGCCTCAAGTTCAGACTCCTTCGACGAAAGGCTGTCCTTGGCCTCCTTGAGCGACGCCTCGAGGTCAGCGATAGTCTTGTGCAGACCCTCAGCATCACCCTTGGACGACTCGACAGCCTTGGTAGCCTCCTCCTTCGCGGCGGTAAGTTCAGACTCCTTGGCGGCAAGGCTCTCCTGGGCCTCCTTGAGCGAGGTCTCGAGTTCGGTGACCTTGGAGCTGGAAGCCTCAGAAGCCTTGCTAGACTCGTCCTTGGCGGCCTTCAGCTCCTCCTCAAGCTTGGTGACAGCCTCGCGAGCCTCAGCGGCTTCCTTCTTCGCAGCAGTGGTCTGCTCGTCGGAGGAGCCCTTGGCGGATTCTATCTCGGCCTCAAGCTTGCTGACGGTGCTCTGGAGGCTGGCAACCTCGTCCTTTGCGGAGCCAACAGCCTTGGATGCGTCACCCTTAGCGGTCTCGAGCTCAGCGTCCTTGGCGGAGAGGCTGTCTTGCGACTCCTTGAGGGAAGTTTCGAGTTCGGAGATCTTGGTGGTGAGAGCGTCGACTTCGCTCTTGGCCTCTTCGGCAGCCTTGACGGCGGCGTCCTTCTCGGATGCGAGGGAGGATGAAGAAGCTTCGAGCTCAGATGTCTTGGCCGCAAGCTCATCTTGTGCCTCCTTCAACGAATTCTCGAGGGAGGATACCTTCTGAGCGAGCTCATCAGCATCGCCCTTGGACATGTCGGCGGTCTTCAGCTTCTCCTGGAGTTCGGCGATCTCAGTCTTCAGGCTCTCGACCTCGCCCTTGGAGGACTCGGTGAGCGAAGTGACTTGGTCGGCGGCATCAGCGTGCTCCTTGGTCTTGGCGTCGAGCTCAGCAGCCTTCTGGTCGAGAGTGTCCTTAGCCTCCTTGAGGGAAGCCTGGAGCTCGGCAATGGTGCTGCGAAGGCCATCAGCCTCTTCTTTCGACGCCTTGTCAGCGTCAGCGTCCTGGGTGCCACGGGCAGCGAGCTCATCGGAGAGCTTGCTGTGGGCGGCCTCGAGCTCAGCGTGCTTTGCCTTGAGGCCCTCCAACTCGTCGATCTGCGTTCTCAGAACGGCAACCTCGGCGGCAAGCTCCTCGACCTTGGTCTTTTGCGCGTCACGGTCAGCGGCGAGAGTGTCGAGTTCGTCCTTGGCGACAGTCTGAGCCTTGAGGTCCTCAATCGTGGCAAGAGCGTCGGCAAGGTCCTTCTCGGTCTTGCTCTTCTCAGCGGTGAGCTCCTCCAACTGCGACTTGGCGCTGGCGAGCTCAGTCTCCTTGGCCTCGACCTCGGACCTGTCGACCGACTCGGTGCCGGCGGACTTGTCGCTGTCAAGCTTGGCCTTGAGCTGCTCGACCTCCTCCTTGTACGAGGCAATCTGCTTCTCGAGGTCGGCGACGGTGGCACGGAGCTCCTCAGCCTCCTTGTTGACGTCGGCGATCTTTGCGTTGAACTCGGCCTCGCACTCGTCGCGGACGGTGTTCCTCTCCTTGGCCTTGGCCTCGCGCACCTGCTGGACGACGACGCTGACCATGTGCTCCTCGAGGTCCTTCTTGTCCTGCTGCAGCGACTGCTCGCGGGCCTCGAACTCCTTCTTGCGCTCCTCGTGGTCGTCCTCGAGCGTGCGCACGTGCTCATCTTGTGTGGCGGCGACGCGCTGGGCTTCGTCGAGGTCGGCTTCGGCGTGCTTGAGCTTCCGCTTCAGCTTCTCGATCTGCGTCTCGAGGCTGTCGGACGCCTGTGGTGAGGGCGGCGAGGGCGAGTCTGCTGTTGGGGCATGGTGCGTTAGTATGTGGTGAGCGGGGACATTCTGGTGCAGGGGAGACGCCCGCGAGTGCAGCGAGAGCGGATAGTGGGGGAATGCTGCTGGCATTGTTATGGATTGGGCAGGTGGGGGTGGGAGTGGTGCGCGGTGAGCGTCACGTACCTGCTTCGTCTTCACTTAACCGTGTGGGCGCCTCACGTGGTGTCTCGGGCGGCGTGTCGACGCCATTGTCCTGCGTGCTCGACTCGACCTTGCTCGGCGGCGTCGCGTCGGTTGTCACGGCGGGCGTCGCTGGCTCGGCCGTGGCCGGTACCGGTGCAGGTCCGCCGAAGAAATAGTTGTACGCTCTCTTCATACTGCTGGTTCGCTTGGGGAGTCCCGGTCGCAGGGAGCTCGTCGATTTCCGGCCTCGTCGCTCTTCTTGCTGGCTTGCTTCGCCAGTAATCGGAGCAGGTAGAGGGTCGATCGTCCCGTTTCGCTTGTTGCTTATCGTTCGTGGTGGTAGCAGCCGTCTACTGAATTTCTGAGATCCCGTGTTGATATCAGCGAGGATCTGCTTCTGCTCTCTCGAAGAGGCCCTGCGCGGCGGTGTTAGTGGGGGCTCTGGTGACTTTGTAGGTGAACGACAATGGCCGCAAAGCATTCAATGTATGGCAGATAGGTCGGGCCAACAGTGGTGTAAGAAAAAAAATATGTTAGGGTATACCACATGACGGCGAGCCATCGTGGGCGAGAGCGTCTTACCAAAAGCAACAAGAAGAAAAGAGGCGTGTATCGTAATGTCCTCAGACAGAGGGAGCAGTGGTGAGGGGTGGAGGGGGAGGCAGAGGGGAAGGTGACGGGTAGCACTCACTCATAGCTTTCTTTCCTGCCCCAGCTCGGCATGATTCACGCTCTACTGCTATCAGTTCCCTCTGTTGAAAGCGCCACTGTTTCCCGCGCGAGCCAGTCCAATCAAGTATGCTGAAAATTTTGTTGCCCTTTCTGAATCTGGGCGGGCCGTCAAGTCTCCTCACCGCACGGTAACGAAATGGAGCTTTACTTATGTACAAGCACAACAACACGCTGGATCCTGCATGCAAGCCTGGTGGATTGTCGGGCGCTAGACGTCCGCTACGAGGTATATACATCTTCGAGGGGAGGCACGAGCCAGTCATGTAACGCTGCGACACGGTAGCACAATTGGCATGGGCGAGGCTGGACAGGCATTAATGCAAGCACAACGCAGATGGACGTCGAGGCCGGCGCTGTCAAAGCTCCCAAGCGGCTCCACTTTGCTTCTTACCGCCTCGACTAGGGTCTGCCAGGGCTTCCTCGACGACAACCCGTGTGCTGACTACCCAGCCATGCGACGTCGCTGAGGACGACGTCCTTGCTTTTGGCACGTCGACGACCAGTTTGATGAGGCCCTCGAGGTTTTGTACCCGCCCACGCCCTCAACACACGACGTGTCCTCCCCACCGGAGCGCGTCTCCTCGTGCCAATCACAGCCATGCACGTAGTATCACGATCACGACGTACATAGCTTCGGCATTCGATTACAGGAAGTTGGGCGAGCAATCGATAAGCCTTAGCCAGCACATCATCGTCGGAGATCGTGGGCTCCAGCGTAGGGCTCCGCGCACGGTCACGGGCGCGTCGACGTGTGACTCGGCATGATCTGATGTTATGCGAACCCCAATGGCTTGCAGGAACACGGTCTTTCCTTTTGCAAAAACGTTTCGTCTCAGAGTTGGGGCAAAGTGTCGTGCCGACTGGTCGCCTCGACTCTGCTGAGACAAGGACACTCTGGACGCGCGCGCAATTGTCATGCAGGGCCTTTCCGTGATGGGCGGTCGATGCGTTGATGCGTTGTTCGATCGGGTCCGCTGAATTATTTCTTGCCATGCCCAGTCAGTCCATTCGCCTCGCCAATCCTCTCTCGGACCGTCACGTTGCCATCCTCAAACTCCGGCTACCTCGCCGAAGGCCACCTGGGCATCTTCAAAGCCCGAAAGTGGCTGTGATCGTAGTTTCCCCAACCTCCTCCCCTCTTAGCTCGAGTGCACTTCATATCACCTTGCGTCGTGCAGTCTCTTCACCGCAAAACCACTGCACCCCAGAACCTAGTCATTTCACGGACTGGCCCTGCATAACCGCACCCCACCCGTTGACAAGGCGGCGCGCTAGCCAGGTCAGCACTCGCGCGTGAAGCTCCACCGCCTCTTCGCATCAACGTCGTATCGTGGCGCGTGAGGACGTAAATCACGGCAGAAAAAGTCTTCCGGCTGCGTTGTCGAGGCGACACCGCCGGTTGGGAGGGTTCTCTGATTTGACATGTGATTGTAAAGTGGCAACGGCAATTGCAGTCATGGGCGATCTGTGAGGAACGACAATACTGGAATGTTCTCGGGTTCTCTAGGCTCAGGTAACTCATGATAGCAATGGTATTGACGCTCGCGAACTATGAAAACTCCCATCCGTGGATGTATACCCCAATCGTTAACGCCATGACTATGCACACTGATGTCTAAGGAGGATAAGGAAAACTATATACATGCAGCATCCACTGAGCAAACGCGTGGGGAAGAAAACACATCAATGCCCACCACTAAACCCATGTACCGACGCCAACGCAAACTCAAGCGGACCGTTGACGCCTTGTGCTTGAACGAGCAGATCGCCGTATGTGTCGTCGCGTCGAAGGCCCGCTCGGTTGCGCAGTGCCATCTGGAGACGTGGTCTGTGGAGTGGACTCGCTTGGATTCTCAGGGCCACCTCCAGAGGTTGACCGCTGCGTCCGAGCCCGTGGACTAAGAAAGGAAGATACGCGGCGGGCCCCTTCAGTATTGGGTCTGCCACTGAGGACAATCTCCGGTGATAAAAGCTCGGTCGACTCAGAACCGGAGCGAAGTTCACGGCGGACTTGTCTAGCCTCGCGCAGTACCTCTCTACTCCTCCTGAACCGGTCCCGCCCTGGCATATACATGAAGATTAGCTTGATATTACCGACAAAAGGGTTTTATCCCTATTGCGGAGATCCAAACAGACCCCTGCGTATCCGGTCACTGATGCCACCGTTGCCCGAGCCTGCATTTGCGTTATCAGACGAGCTGCCTTGACCGTTGGACGGTGGGGGTGGGGATCCTGCGGGAACGACGTAGGGATCATTGAACGTGCCCGAGCCGGAAGGAGTGAAGGAACCCGGCATCTGGGACGTACGATCCGTCTGTGAGTCTGCAGACGCAGGGTTGTTCGCCTGGCCCTCGCCACCCTTGGTAATACCCTTTCGACAATGTGGACAGGTGTCGTGCTCGAGCAGCCACGCGGAGACACATGGGTGGTGGAACCAGTGCTTGCATGGCAGTAGCGTCACCTGCTCGCCGATGTTGACCTCGTCCATGCATATACTGCATTCGGCCTTGTGTTCGTCGCCTAGCATCTCTTCGGTGATGTGGGTACGCGGGAGTTTATCGATGTCGGCTTGTGTTGCCGGACCGGGCGCGTTGCTCGTCGAGGTTTGCTCCATGAGTTGGGAGACGATGCGGTCTAGGCCTTCTTGAGAGTAGACAAAATCTCCCATGTTGCCAGCGTGGCCGCCCATCATACCCATAGAGGAGAATAGTTGTAGGATAGGGTGACCCGCGAACTGCTCGCCAGCGCCATGGTTGTGTTCGCCGCGGAAAGTACCCTCAGCGCCGCCGAGTGGGTGGTTGTGGGCGTGGACGCGAGGAGGTGGTGCTCCAAAGGCAGCCATGAGGCCAGTCATGACACTGTTTGGCTTGTTAGCGGCTTCCAAATATGGCGGTTCGCTCCTGCTTACTTGGTGATCTCATCCACAGGCTCGGCCTGGCCTGGGTGGTTTCCATTGCCGGGGAACAGTCGAGCGCCACCGTGGTATGTGAAGCTCCCTCCGCGGACCTGAGGTCCTCCTTCGTGACCCTGGGTTTGAGCTTCTTGGAAAGCAGACTGGTTTGGGCCTGTGCCTGGTCCAGCGCCAGAGAACAGACCCTCCCCTTGACCCGGTTGCTGACCTGGTTGTTGCCCTTGTGGTCGCATAGCTGCCCCGGTGAGCCCGTTCAACATGGCCATGAATCCTCCTATTGACCCAGGCACCGCCATGCCGCCCTGGGGCGATACGGATCGTGTAACGGTAGCCTGCAGGTTGTACCTTCCCGGACCAGTTTCTGTGAATCTGACATTGCTAATGTCGCCCTCCTCCGGATCGTCGGTCTGCCATGGGTTGTGGTGAGGGTTTAATTGTGGTGGGGCATGCTCGAGATCGGGGAGGGAGTCGGAGTCGTCGCCGTCATGGCCAAACATCCCGGGGGCAGCATCTCTTGGGTCGTTGTTATCTTCGATCTAGTCGGTGTCAGCGGAATTCGGTGCATATCCGCTTCGCGTCGTGTCTGACGGGCTGGAGGCTGGATTTGGCGGCTGAACTCACAATCTCGGTGAAGTCGGAGCCGCATTCTGGACACGAGAGGCCGTGTTCGTCTCGATACCACTCGTCGGCGCACTCGTGGCAAAACATCATGTCGCGATGCCCGGGCCGCGGGTTTCCTGACGGCGCATCCTGGTTGGTCGACTGGTCCATGGTCGCAGGCGTGAGGCGTGTGATAAGACGTAGGGTAGTAGGGTGAGGTTCAAGGACACTGGATGAGATATGTCAGCATGGAAATAACGTTCGAGCAACGGACGCCGACTTACGGCCTTGTGTCGGGAGCAGGCGCGGAAGAGAATCAATTCAAGTCAAGAACCTATCACGCGCCGTTGCCAGTACAGGTGATGGTGGCGAGCTGCGACAGCAGACAGGTAGGGGGTATCGCAGTGAATTGCGGAGAGGATTCAGGGAAGTTTGGCGTAGAGGGAGATCTCAGGCGAGGCTACCCGTAAGTGATAGTTCCAAGGTTGTTTCGCGCGCAAGCTGTCAGACACCGGAATGACGTTGTTCGGTGTGCAGGGGTGGTGGGGTCTAGCGATTTGTCCCGCGGTATCTCGAGTTGGGCGAAGCTAACTCAGCACTTTGCCTCGTGGGTCAAGAAGTTATGAGGAAAGACGTGGAATGGAGACGGGGGCAAAGTCGCTTGCGCGTCTTCTTGAACGCGGCAGCGGTTGATTGTCTTGCTCTGACTCTACGTTTGTCCGACCAGTTGTCTCTGTCCGCTTCTTCCGTGTTCCATCTAGTTCTGAGGCCTTCTATCAGCCAAAGACTGTCGCCCGCAGCAATCCAACAGTACGTCGCGCGATAAGGTGGTCAGTGCTATCGCTTGCTTGGTAGGAGAGCTTTGTGTATACTACAGATATCAAAAATTGCTATTAACCATACGTTCCCTGCCAAAGGTATAGAAACCACAAACGCCTATGCATGTACTCATCAACATGACTGCGGGCCTGTAATCCAAACGACGCTGCGCATGTCAGATTCGCGACGACGGCACCTGTTCACGATCTTCGAGGGCCACCCCTCAGCAAGAGGCTCCCCACCACGCCCGCCGCGACCACGATTCCTCCCACAATAGCGGCGCCCACAAGCCCCTCCTTTGCCACCTTTTCGTCGATGAGACCCTTCAAGCTTCCGGCCTGGAGGTTTGCGGGCTCCAACTCCAGCAGCAGCTCGTTGTACCGTCGGGCTTCAGCATAGTTGCCGAGCTTGTAGTTGCCGAGGGCGAGGTAGTAGAGGCATTCGCGCCGGCGCTCGCGCGAGTTGCGGAAGATCTCTGAGAGGAGGCGCACTCCTTCCTGTTGGTCGGGACGGGAGGTGGATTTGATCAGACCCTAGAATACCATGAGCTTGCTTGTTGCGGGTGGTGCCGTGCGCATGTGCAAATGTGACGAGGCGCGGGGAAGCCGTACCCATGCGTAGTTGAACTTCGTCTGCAGACCAACGTATTCGCCCTCCTTCTCGTACTGCGCGCGCAGAACCTGCAGCTCCTCTGGCTTGAGCGGCGACTCGACATCGGCGGCATCTAAGGGGAATGAGCGTTCGTCGGCCCAGAAGTCGTTATCCCACTCACATGGTAATGACGGCGGCATGGCGGCTGTTTGTGTTGCGCAAGAAAATTAGAGAGGTCTGAGAAGTCGGCTCTGGGGGAGGCGGAAGTTGGTATCGTGAGGATGGGTTAGTGCAAGTGGTAAGCGTCAAACTACGGGCTGTCTCGTGAAAGCTCCAGCTGCAGGCCGAGCGGGCGATCTTTTACCGTGACGTACGCCGCCGCCTCGTGGCTGCCGGCCATGCGCCACGCTACGCCTGCGCCTTCCGCCACTTGGTCGCGGTTGCCATGCACGCGACTTGGCACGGGCCATCCAAACAAGAACATCAACACCATGGCCTTGTCGCGATAGACATCACCAAAGACGATACTAAACGATTGCGCAAACATCCCACAACACTTGAAACAATCGTACCATACACACAAACTTCACGCGACACCAAATAGCCCAACATGCTTCTCGACGAAGACCCCGCTGCCGTACGCACCCTCTCCAAACACACATACGCTCCTCCCTAACAATACCCAGCTCATCGCGCAATGCACATCGCATTTCAAGATCGCCAATGACAAAACCTCGCTCCACCGCATAAACGAATCCCTCAGCACCCTCAGCGAATTCCGCACCCAACACCTACGCTCCATCCAATCTTCCCTCAGCGCGCTGAACCGGACACACCAAACCCTCTCCGCGAACCACAACCACACCCTCAGCCAGCATAACCCCACAAACCATGCGGCGGAGATACTGCGGCTAGACACCGAGAAATTCAAGATCGCGAAGCAGGCGAGTGATCTGGAGATTGAGGGCGAGAGGCTGCAGAGCGATCTCGCGAGGCTAGGGGGCGTGGCCGGCGAGTTGGAAGAGGAGGGTGTTGAAGGGGGTGTTGAACCTAGGGCGGGTGAGGATGCGACAGTGTAAGTTCTACCGATGATTGTGAGAACGCAGGTACTGACTTAGACTCCAGATTGAAGCTCAAACTCTACCGCACTCTCGGCATCGACGTCGAAGCCGACCCCACTACCGGCGAGTACAACAAGGCTGTCGTGCGCAATGCGACGAAGGGGGATGTGCATGTCGTCAACATTGACCCCAAGTTCTCACGACATTTCTACACAAACTATTTCTGGCGGACGATGTAGGCTGGATGCGTGTTTTGTCATTGCGCTGGACGCAGAAGTGCAGTGTGCAAATTGGATGATTAGGTGTTCGATTATGACTTGCTTTCTGAGATACCTCTGTGTTTATAGCGTTTTTAGGTACATAACGCAATCTTTACATTCGGGTGGATAACAATGCATGGCACAGCAGGTGTACTCGATGTCTTGTTTTTCCGGACCCTCGTTCACGTTGCCCGCAACGCAACTCGTTTGTGGCAGTCGTATTCAGTATGCAGCTCGTCATGATGGCGTGCAAGCCACCATGCAAGGCTGTTTGTCAGCAACGTGACAGCCTAATCTACAGACCAGGCTGTGCGGTGTCTTTAACACTCTCTCATCTGCTTACTTGCCGCGTAGCTTCACTGTTATCTTCACTTCACGCTCATTCTTCAAGGACAATTATCGACAAGCGCGCGAGGTCGCGACGATCTACAGCAGGATGGATGGATTACAGGACGACACAACACTCCCCCCGGTATCCAGCCCGGTTGACGAAGAACCCAGCTTCATTTCCGAAGAGGAAGAACAGGAAACGAGAGAAGATGCCATGCTGGAAAGAATTCGACGCCCGTACGTCGAATACAAGAAAGCCCATCCTCAGGGCAATCTGTGCGAACGTTGCGCTGGCATAGATTGGTCGCTTCTTGTACCTAATGAAGCTTCGTACCATTGCTACCGCGATCTAGAATCGTTGCACATCCCCGAGTCGAGCCAGGAGCTGTCTGCATCATCTTGTCCACTTTGTCAATTACTGAGCTCTGACTACAGTCGGACCCTTCAAGTGGATTGTACCTGCTACAAGTTGTGGCGTTCGCATGGCCGTCCCCATGTTACTCCTCAGGACGATTGGACACACCATAATCCATATCTCGTGGCGGGAGGTTCGAGATATGTGTTACAAGACGCGCGTGCGCATACTCAACACTACGTCCTCCGTAAGCTCGCACCAGAACGAATAGACTACGAAATCCTTCGACATTGGCTACGACACTGCAAACGCCATCATCACACGAAGTGTAACCCTAACTTCTCTTCATCCATTCCTGGCCTCCGAGTCTTTGATTGCAAGGCTGAGAAAGTCGTCACTGCACCCGACGACACTGCCTTCCGTTACATAGCCTTATCCTACGTATGGGGTGGTGTGGAAATTACACCAAAAGAGCCGAACGAATTTCCAGCGACGGTACGTGACGCTATCACCGTCACACTGAAATCGGGTTACAGATATCTCTGGGTAGATCAACTGGTACGTAGCTGCGCCAGCGATGGATTGTGTGACCTGTACTAAGATACAAGCTTAGTGTATACATCAGTCAGACGAGACTCACAAACAAGCCCAGATCAAGCTCATGGGTCGCATCTACGCCGAGTCAGAGCTGGTCATTATTGCTGCAGCGGGCAGTACGTCCCATTACGGACTACCGGGTGTTTCTTCGAGACCCCGTGAAGCACAAAGAATAATCGAACTAGACACAGGCGTACACTTGATCGAGATGTTTGAAGTAGATTGGAAATTGAACGACACAGTGTGGGGTGAGAGAGGCTGGACCCACCAGGAGGGCTATCTGGCAACACGTAGACTCGTCTTCACCGACAGCGAAGTCTTATACTCATGTGACCGTGGAACATGGCAAGAGTCTGTACAGCGACCTGGAATCGACGACCACAGCTTTTACATGAAAAACGATTATCCAGGTTTTCCGCTAGATAGTAGAGAAGAATCTCGTATCGCCCACGTGTTGAACAACTACTCAAAGAGAAAGTTGTCCTTCGAGGGCGACATCCTCAACGCTTGTACCGGAACTTTAGAAAAGCTTGTCGACCTTCACTTTTGGGGTATAGTTGCTAGGGTCTCGGCTTCTACCCCCAATACCCAGCTCTCCTTAGAGTGGCGCAGCTGGCCTTATCCTGGCCGAAAAAGAACAAATTTTTTGAGTTGGTCGTGGGTAGCAACAACTGGTCACAAATTGATAGAGGTCAATACTCACAGGAATGACCGAAGCTTCGTCGCCGAGGTCCTCACAACGGATGGACGTTGGTTGACTTCAGACAACCAGATGGAGAGTCGATACGACCCTTTGCCCGAGGGCTCCGGTCCTACTCTGCGACTTACAGGATCGTTCTACACGGCCTCTTTGATGTCCGGCGAACTCCAGAAGCGTGGAGAGAAATCAGAGGACAGGTCTTCAATCGTTTTTCAGCACACTGGTGTTATTGGAGATGAAACTGAAGTAGTTTTCGAAGTGTGGCTCGACACTGAACTCACAGATGCTGTCTCGCCAGATCCTGTCAAAGCAGTACCTCTCAATGGTCGATATGAAGTGGGCGGACATTGGGAAGTCGGTTGGTGTCCTGCTTTTATGGTCCTCCAGGCTGTCGGAGACCATTACAGGAGGATTGGCGCTACAGACAGAGATTGTTTGATCCGATCAAAGAAGACTGGGCTCACGAGGGAAATGGGGCGGGATGATGTAATACCACGCCCAGGTGATGAAGAAACCATTTACATTGAGTGAGTGTCAGCTCATACCCAGGAGATGTACCATTATGGAGGGTGTGTCGTTGCGACGGGGTAGCACGACACTGTCGAAGTGAAGGCGACGGTATTATCATGATTAGCCATTTCCATCGCTTTATGTCGCATTATCAAAGAGCTCGATAGCAGTACTTACGGCATTCATATACCTGGTCCCGCTCATCTACTCCCTCTGATGAAGGCTCACAACAACGTTCGCGAAGGCATGGAACAGTACTACCTGACAGGAAAAGGCGCCCAATCGTTAACGGGCTCATTTATCGATACTCTGAGTTTGCCAATCTTTCGACAAGTCATCGTGCTATTCCGGTTGTGTTGGGCACATCCGCGCCTCATCTAGTGCGAGTTGGACGAGGGATCTTACAAACTTCCTGATGCGGCTATCCTACCGAACTGCGGGAGCACCTGCGCCGCAATATAAACAACTAGCCTACCACCAGAATACCGTTAGCTTTCACGATACAAGCATAGACAAATGCAGCGTTTGCTCGATTTGGAAGCTTGGACCACAGTCGCTTCACTCATTAGGGACAAAGAATGCTGTTCATCTAAATACAGGCTAGCGTCATAAGCAGTCATGACCACGCCTCGCTCCTTCTCTGCCCGCGCCCTCCCTATATTAAAGAACCTACGCCTCCGCCGAAATAAACCCGCAACTCCCACCCTCTACTTAGTCTCGACGATCTCTCGATTTCCAGGAACCATCAACCAGATAGAACCCACAGAATGCAGCTCTTCATCCCCGTCTTAGCTCTCTTGAGCACGCTTGTCGCTGCTGTACCGACCGTAAGTAACGAAGACTACCACACCAAACCATCCTTCTACCCATGATACTAACATTTTACAGGCTGCAGCGGACGGTCGCGGGGCCACCATCTTCACCGACAAAAACTTCAATGGCCGGTCAACCGCCATTCCCGCCAACGACTTCTGCACCGACATAGACAACATCTTTGGCAACTTCGATGGCAAGATCCGCAGCGTCACCGTTGAGAAGGGCTACCACTGCAAGTTCTACACGTACGTCATGACCATCAGTCTCCTTTTACTTGGAAAGAGCGTTGGAAACTAACTTCCACTAGCGGTCACGACTGTCCTTCCAACGGCCAGAAGATGGAATGTGGCAGCAAGGACCAGGCGTCGGTGTTTGGAGATCTGGGCACGTTCGACTACAAGATCCATAGCGCGTACTGCACGAAAATATAGATGGAGGCTTGTGCAGACTGGATTTCTTTGGGTGTTTTCAGCTTGATACGGCTTGCGCAGCTTGAGTGTGCTTGGTGGCTTGAAGACAAGATGGGTGTAGCATGATCGCAGTAAGCGCTACAGCGGTACTTTGCGACTCGGTCTATCTATTTGCGAAGGCTGGAGTTCCGGGTCAGCGCGGATAGACTGTTATACGAGATGGGGTACATAATTATAATACTTTCAATCGTACAAACACATGTGTCTCCAGTGCGCGACAAAACTGGTGTTTTGCCGAGTCGCATAACGCGTACAAGTAACCACGAATGGGCCATCGCCAAGTGATCGAGCGATGCAGTAGCAAGTTCCAATTAGTCAGGTATTGCGATCATCGATTACAGTCGAAGCGCGAAATTGCGAGTGTGACGGGATAAATGGTTGTTGCATTATTATCGACAGCGCCGATGGTGCAGTGTGAAAGGAGATGAAGAATGCAGGAGGGACGGGTACAACCGCCGCAGGTGTTGGTACTAACCCGGAACGGAACTGCCCCACGTTGACCCACATCGATCGCCTGTGGTTCTGGATGTCACATCACAATCTTTCACGTCGACACGGAGCAGCCTCGACTCTTTAGCAGCGCGTCCTGGATTACGAAGTACGTACGCAGCGAAGTTACATGTCAAAACCGCGGAAGACGGCATGTCTTGGGCAGCAGAGTTTGATTGGCTGGCCAATGCGCGGTGCATACTTTCATCGTCGTTTGGGCCATCGCTCATGACTTTTGTTCATGACTTTCGAGGCTGCCTACAATCTTAACGACATCAGTTCACATGTGCTATGTTTTCTAATCATCGATATCGGCTGCTGAATGCAAGCGAAAGTGCGGTCCGCCCACGATACACCTAAATCCATGGATGCCTGTTGAGCCCAACTCAACACCCCCAGGACGCCCTACGCCCGACGCAACTTAGAATGCCATTGGATGGCACATTGTCCACCGCATGAGAATGACCACTGCGTCTGAGATCAGGGCTGCGTGCTCTACATTATCACATATCTTCGGGATGTCATCATTCGCGGACAAGAATGAACCAAGTACAGGTTCGGATTAGATCATCGTGCTTTGCTTTCATCCCAACTCAATCTCAAACGAGATCGTAGCGCTCTGGTGGCTTTGTTCGGTGAGTCCGTTGTGTTCCAGAGTCTCTTTGCAGGCTTTGTACGGGTGTCAGGAAATGGGAAGAGGTTTTCGACAACAGCCTTCGTCTGAGACATCACGACCCTTTCTCTTTCGCCAAGCTTGGTATCACAGTTTAGACTTCTACAACTCATTACGTCGCGGAATATAACTGGTACTCACTGCTCGGGCGAACTCGAACGGCCTGTTATCGGAGTGTCCGAAGTGTAGCACCCCACGACGGATTCTGGTGGTGTTTCAAAGCCTTCGAACCCCGTCACCAACCTTGCCAACTGGGACAGTTGGATCAGGATGATCAATTCAATTCCTAATCACCCACGAATCAAGAACCAAATCACCATAATATCCAGCCTATCACGGCATACAACGACGCCGGGAGACCAGTTCAGTCCCAAAGTAGCAACGGAACACTGCCTCAGCCTCGCATAAAGACCCCGTAGTGTGATGAATCTCCGTCGTGTGGGACGGTAGGAGCCTTGCGGGACTGGCAGGTCGCCGAACTGTTGGTTGTAGCCTCGCGGGAGTTAAAGTGACCCACAAGCTCGCCGCGATGTCAGCTCGGTGCTTTACAATCATAGCGGCAACTTCAACTGCCCCATTCCGGCAGTACCTCTTGAGCCTCAAACTACGCTCTCACATATTGTCACAATGAAGACCTTCGACAAACATTCCTGGCTCGAGTTCTGGTTCTACGGAGTCCATCCCGGTATCATGATGGCACTGACCTGCATTGGTGTCATGGCTACATTGGAAATGTACCCGTTCAGAATGAAGACCACGTCACGCCCTTGCGAGATGTGCAAGTCAGTATCTCCAAATACTAACTGAGAACTCCACTAATATATCGACAGAAATCGCGAGAGGGAAGACAGCCTGGAACATCCTTCTACAAACGCAACCTTCACAACGCGACATACCCCACCTGCTCGCAATGACGACAAACTATACGAAGCAGAGCCAAATAGCTTCCGACACCCGTCCTTCCGCTACTCATTCATCCCAACTTCGCCGTTCGGTGCTGGAATGCCTATTCGAGTACCTTCATCCCGCGCGCCGTCATCATACTACGCTGATGGGACGCACGTGCGCGTCCGTTCATTACAAAACTTCCTGCTTCCACCGCTTTTCAATCGTCATCGTTTGAGTGGAGAGCAGTACTCCGACGGTATGCAGACACCTGACAAAGCGCGTAGCAGGCGCATGAGTGCTGTTCGGGAGGACATGCACGGTGCTATGATGGTGTGATACGGTCAGCGATGATAGATTTGTCCTGATTGATCATGTATGCGCCGAGCTCATCTTGATGTACTTTCCAATCAATGTTATGCTACCCATACGCGACAGACAACAATTTGTTGAAGTGTTCATTTTGCCGATAAGTGTAGCTAGCTAGAACATATCTTCTTCTATTATTGTGCCAGTGCTAGAATCAGGGCCATCATTGATGATTGATATACGTAGGCGTAGTTTAGAAGTCACACTATATAGCTATCTGGAATATCAAAGCGCATGTGAATGTAGCATCCGGTCATCTGCTGTCCGACCGTATCGCAATACAAATAGTCGGAGAACTGTGCCGACTGCGCCGTCACCTTGACCTCCGCATCGTTCGCAAACGCGCGAATTTCCCTTTCGTCCTCGTCGCTCAGATTGCTTTCCATGCTCGCCCCTTCCTGCTCGAGACACTCGATGCGCTTCGTTACCTGGTATGGGGATAACATCGTCGCCCTGCTTCAGTAGCCAGGTCAGGGCAAGCTGGCTTACAGTGCATTTGTGCTTATCAGCGAGCGCCTGGAAATGGGCTACAGCTTTCTCGTTGGCATCCCGATTCGCCTCCTGAAAGCGAGGCATGACCGAAAAGAGAATCAGATAATTCTCTCGGGTTCTGATACACACGCCGAGCCGAAACTGACATGTAACCATAGCAGAGTAACGATGGGATAGAGATTGATCCCCTCATAGGGTCGCTTCTATTCCAACACGTCACTTCATCTAAATATATCGAGAAGCTAATCATTCCATCCAACTATCGTGCCAATTGCCATGCACGACTGGAAGCTCCCTGACGTCGACGCTGTCTTTATCCCAATACTTGAGACCCATCAGCGTGGGAATGGCGTCTCGGTCAAAACCTGAAGTGGTATACGAGTTCGCTGGTAGAAGGCCGTCGCAAACGATCACCAGGATGTTGTGGGGAGTGCAGAGCCGACTAAGCCTACTACAGATCCTAGCACAGCTCTTCGTCTTCTTCTCCAAACTTCTTGTACTTCCCAAGTCATCTACCATTATGAATCGGAGTGGTACCCGTGCGTAGGGCTCTGAGGTATCCTTCGTGTAGGCTATTTGCTGCCGCGTCTGAGCGTTGAACTTTGCGGCCATCGTGTGAATGTCCGATTCAGTCGGGCGGCGTCCAAGATGACACCGGAGAGTATTGCGCATAAGAGCCCCCAGTGAATCCAGTCTTTGCTGAGTGTACCAAATATACACCAAATCGTGGAGTAGCATTGGAAATTTCTTGTGACGGACGAGTTGGCGGTTCACGATGAATCTAACTCCTTCACTCAAAATGAAGTCTCTTTGGATCTTGTGTACGA